AAGCATGCCATAAGCTAGAGACCATTCCCAAAGCTGCTTCTTATATACAGGAAGCAGACCACATGCCCAAAACAGCTACTCAGTTGCTTGTGGTAGATCCCACCATGAAGTTGATTGCCAGTCTCATCATGGGGAATAACTACCACCAGCTGCCCAGCCACTCAACCAGGCCCAACCAAGTTGATACAAAAACATAACACCACACTATCCCTTATGTATGATTTTTCTGAGCACAAAGTTTCTTGAGCCCTCATTCTCTCCTGTGGGTGATGTCTGTCCTAAGACGTCATTCAGCATATGCTGGGGCTCTGATTAGAATCACTAGGTTCTGCCACTCACAACCTCTGTGACCTTGGGTAAGTTGCTTAACCTCTCTGGGCCTCCATTTCCTCCTCAAAGTTTCTGTTGTTATTTTTAGGTGCCACTGAATTGGTTCCTCCCCCTAGTAACCCCATGTACAACACCAAACACTGCCCAGTCCCATGCCATCCTCACAGTCACTGCTATGCTCGAACCCATTGTTGGAGGTCCTCATTGAGGGTCTTCCTCTTTTTTTGCTGATCTTCTACTATTCCCAGCATGACGTCCTCCTCCAGGGACTGGCCCCACCTGATCACATGTCCCTAGGTGATGCCAACGGCTGACCTCTGGCTGCTAACTGCAAGGTTGGAAGTTTGAATCCACACAGAGGTGCCTGAGAAGAAAGGCCTGGTGATCACTTCTGAAAACTCAGCCGTTGAAATCCACGTGGAGCTCAGTTCTACCTTGACACACACGGGGCTACCCCAGTAGGAGTGGACTCTATGGCAACTGGTCTAAAATGGAAATAACATAGTCATTACCTCACAGGGTTATTACAGGATTACATGAGATGTGACACATTCATATAGAGCTTAATACAGTTCCTGTCACACACTAAAGCAGTCAGTCTACAATGTCTAAGACATCAATAACTAGTGCAGGGGTTTAATATGTGGGTACGCAATTATTAAGGAGCCCTGGTGGCACAGTGATTAAGTGCTCAGCTATTAACCAAAAGGATGGCAGTTTGAACTCCCAGTAGCTACATGAGAGAAAGATCTGGTGATCTGAGTTGATAGAGATTGCAGCTAGAAAACCCCATGGGGCGGTTCTACTCTGTCTCATGGGGTCGCTGTAAGTGGAAAATTGTCTCCACCACACCTCACACACAATTAGTAAGCCTTGACTGGTGGAAAGAGGTTTTGGTAACCTAACCCCATCTCCACCCAGTCGCCCTCACCTCCCCACTTCGTTGGGACAGGACCCTCAAGGCCTCCCCAGAATAAGAAATCCGCCTTGGAAGAAGTACAGCCCTAAGGCTCCTAGAGGTGAGGATGGTGAAACTTCATCTCTCTCACTTCGGGCATGTCACCGGGAGAGACCAGTCCCTGGAGGAGGACATTATGCTTCGTAAAGCAGAGGGTCAGAGGGAAAAGGAAGACCCTCAGCAAGGTGGATGGACACAATGCCTGAACAACGGGTTCAAACCTGGCAACGCTCGTGAGGATGGCGCAGGGCTGGGCAGTGTTTCCTTCTGTTGTACACAGGATCCCTCTGAGTGACACCTACTCAACAGCACCTAACAACCACCACCACACAGGTTCAAATAAAGGACACGTGGGAGGGGAGTTGTGCATACAGCAGAGGGCAGGCTCCTGGGTGCTTGGCGCTCCCGCGCCCAGACAGCCCCGGGGCGCACGTCCTGAGGTTCTGGGAATTGGTGCCCCGCGGCCCGTGTGCACCGCCTGCTGCGCTCGGCCCGCTGCTCGGCACAGAACGGGATGACTCAGCGCGGGGGCGTGTGTACGTTGTTCCAGTCGGGGCGGAGCTTTTGCACTCCACTCGGCTCCTTCCCACTATAAAGGCAGCCTGCTGGAGGCTCTGCTCCACCACGCCTTCTCGAAGTCCTGAACTTTCCTTGTTCAACTACCTGCGGACTCCAGCCTCCACTTCAGTTGGCTATGGACCCCAACTGCTCCTGTCCTACCGGTAAGGGGGTCTGGTCTGGGGATGAGGACTCTGGATTTGGACTGTTGAGCTGGCGAAGCAGTTTTTAGACCCCTCATTTTCTTCCTGCCCATTCAATTCAAAGGCGCTCTGGTGGTGCAGTAGTTAAAAGCATTCGGCTACAGACCAGATATAAAGATTTACAGCCTTAGAAACCCTCTACTCTGTCCTATAGGGTCGCTATGAGTCGGAATCCACTCTATGGCAGTGAGGTGGTGGATTCAATTCATGGTACTGCTTTTCCCAAAAAGTCGTGGTGTACGTTTCTATTGTAGACTACTCTGAGCCTTGTTTCCCTGATAAAGAGACCAGAGTTTATGCTTTGTCCAAGTTCCCACGAATTAGTGGTGGAGCTGAGACTCGAACTTGGGTTTTTAGCACCCAGTCCAGCGCTTAGAGTTCCACGAACCGTTAGCATCTCTACCTTTCTCCTTTCAGGTGGCTCCTGCGCCTGCGCCGGCTCCTGCAAATGCAAAGAGTGCAAATGCACCTCCTGCAAGAAAAGTAAGTGGATTCCTCTCTTTCCCAACCCGTCCCCAGCCCGCTACACCTTCCTGGGAGGAATTTTAAAGTAGGGTGCAGGGAAGACGGGGGCGTCCTTTCCTACTGGAAGGTGGCCCCTACACAGTGCCCCCTGTTTGGAAGTAAGGGGATCTTCATTCCTTTGTCTTAAGTGCTAATTTCTGCCCCTTTCTTCCTTTCCCCAGGCTGCTGCTCCTGCTGCCCCGTGGGCTGTGCCAAGTGCGCCCAGGGCTGCGTCTGCAAAGGGGCGTTGGACAAGTGCAGCTGCTGCGCCTGACGTGGGAGAGCCCTGCCCACATGTAAATAGAACAACTTGTACAAAGCTGGAGTTTTTTCTTCTTACAACCTTGACCTGTTTGCTACAGTCCTTTTTCTACGAAATATATAAATGATGATAATAAAAGTTGATGACTTTATTCTGCTCTGGTTTCCTTTGTGTGGGTTGGAAACAAGGGTGCTATGATCAGCATGGCTGGGTGTGGGACTAGACTGGCAATCCACATACCTAGGTTCTGGACCCAATTATTAGCTCCTACCAAACCGGCTCCCTCTGAGCTTCAGTTTTTACAGCTGTGAACTGGGAAGAGCATGTGTCAGATGATGTAGATGATGTAAGGGTGTGGAGCACACACAGCCTCCCCCTGGTCTCCTGTCCAGTACTGATGGCGTTAATCTCTCATTTTCATTCTCAGGGATTCCCTGCCCATTGTCTCTCGCTAGATGTTAGGCTTCAAAGCGTCTCTCAGAGGAGATGGAATCCAACATCCCACCTGCTTGAATCCCCACACTTAAGAGAGCTTCTCAAACTCCCTGTATAGAAAGACCAGCTTGTATTTCCTACCTGTCGCAGACCTACACATGGGTAAAATAAAATTAAAGACTAAGAAAATGACACAAATGAAAAAATATAAACCCACTTTTTTATGTTAAAATTTCAATAAACATAGGAAATAGAAAATAACAAATAATTCTTAAAACTGCATGCTTTTTCACAGACCGTGGGCATGACAGACCAGAAACAGTTTGTGGATGGCCCCAATGTGTGGGGTACACACCCCCTGAGTAGCACTGCCCCAGACATCCCTAGAGGGAACCATCAATCTTGGCTTCCCCAGTGCCACTGCCAAGTCACTCGTGACCCCCTGTTGTGAGTTGGCTCTGAATCTTTGGCAGTTCCTTCTAAGATCAGGATAAAGTCTGCCCCTCCTTCATCTTCCAGCCCTGGGCAGATTCAAGTCAACAAAGTGACTAGGGATCTGGAGGGAACTTCCCAGCCATTTCCCAGCAAGATGGAGTGTACATGAGAATTGGATTCCAATGAAGGAGTTCGTGCTTGTCCACACAGGGATGGTGGCAGAGTCTGCCGTCCGGAGGGTGTGGCGGTGTTTATTAGGCAGGAGGGGGGCCCAGGGTGACTTGCAATTAATGCTAACAGTCAGTCCCTCCGGCTATTTGTTGAGGGAATTGCTATTTGATGTTCAAGCATGAAGATGAGTCATGTGACCAGTAGTCAGGCCCACACTTGCCCACTGGCATCCTGTGTGAAGAGGGGATTTCAGAAACCAACATGAACCAGGTGCATGGGATTTGGTCTCAAGGCCCCAGTTTCACATCCTTCCTCACCGTTTACCTGCTATACAACCTGGACAAGTGACTTAACCTCGCTGAGCATCCATTTCCCAATTTGTAGAATGAGAGCATGTTTCCATGAGGGTTTAATGAGATAGCAGCCTGAGTAGCTGTTGTTGTTAGATGCCATCGAGCCAGCTCTGATTCAGAGGGATCCTATGTACAACAGAACTAAATACCATCCAGTCCTTTGCCATTTTCACAATATTTTCTATGCTTGGGCCCGATGCTACTGCCACTGTGTCAATCCATCTCTGGGGGTCTTTCCAAATTAGGCCTTAATAAACAGTGGGCATCATGATCATTTTTTCCTCATTGACTTTGATGGAGAGAATCTTGTAAAATGCCAACAAGCTCCTAGGAAAGGCCTGTCTGGAAGTGTGCCTCTGGGCTGGAGGCTGGGGTGGGAATACAGCCTTGCTGATCCTTCACTGGGGGTGTGTGCATGACCTCCTGCACAAACCCCTCCCAGAGAAGATGCTTCTCAACATATAGACAGCATTGGAAGCGTTCCAGCATTCACATCATTTACCTTCATACAACCCAATGAAAGCGAGACAACCAGCATGCTGGGGTTGGGATGATTGTGATGTTGTCCAGAGAGGCTGAGCAAACTGCCCAGGGTCACACAGCTCAGAAGTCAGAGATTGGGCCTCGACTCTAGTTGGCCTAATGCCCTGGCCATACCTGATCATGATGGCCCCGGATGCTACCTATATCTTGCCTCTCATAGTTGGGAGCTGGAACGGCCCTTGGAAATGGTTTAGTTTTCACCTTGCTTATCATACAGGGAAAGGAAGTCCAGAGAGTTCACCAAACCAAAACCAAACTCACTGCTGTCTAGTTGGATCCAACTCATAGCAACCTCTCCTTGGGTTTCTGAGGCAGAATCACTACAGAAGTAGATTGCCCAACCTTCCTTCCGGGAAGTTGCTGGTGGATTTGAACCACCAGCCTTCTGGTTAGCAGTCAAGTGCCTTAGGCACTATGCCACCAAAGAGTTTGCAGAGCTATGCAAACAGATCCTGGCTCCCAGCTCAGTGTTCTTTCCACTTTGCCTCTGTGCCCTGGTTCTTCACAGGAAGTGATGGTAGGGGTGTGTGGGAGGGTATGATGCTGTGGTCAGCTTACATGGGGGAATATCCCATCTCTGTCACCTACCTCTCTATGACTCAGTCTCCTCCACTGTGAAGGGGGTATAAACTAGTGTCTGGCTCAGTTAATACTATGACTGAGTTAGTACATAGAAAGAATTTAGAATGGTGCCTGGCACGTGGTGAGTGCTCTATAAACATGAGCTATCATTGTATTCTTATCAATGTCACAGGGGATGTTTTCCCACCTCCGGACAGCTAACCTGGCCTGGTGTGCCACAAAATGGGAATGGGCACTGGGGACATACAGCTGTGACCAGTCCCTCAGGCATGTACAGAAGGACAACTGCCATTTCTACTACCACCAGCACCAGTATTTTATTTTCATTTTCCTTTAAAAATGTCTATTGCTTAATATTTTTCCTTTAAATGATTCATATTTTCTGTAATACATTCATATGAAAAGCAAATTCCCTACCACTCCTGACAATGAGACTGAATCTTACTTTCAGACAGAAGTTAGCTATAAAGCTATCTCTGTGCATTATTTTTTTTTATTCATTTCTTTATCACTTTTGTCCATGCCATGAGTTGAGCTTGAGACTTGCTCTTGTTTAAAATATTTTAAAGCAAAGAGAAAGAGAGAGAGAGAGAGAGAGAGAGAGAGTACTGTAGAGAAGCTTGGACCAAAGTTCCGTTTTGTCCTTGAACCTTTCTTTCCCTTAGGTGACAACTAGACACCTTATCCTAGCTCCATGACCTTGGTCAAGTTAGTTACAATCTTTGTATTTTAGTTTCTCATTAATATTAACTCCTTGCTGTCCAGTCATTCCAACTCATAGTGACCCTACAGGACAGAGTAGAATAGCCCCATGGGATTTCCAAGGTTATGGTTTTACACAGCAGACCTGGTGGTGTAGCAGTTAAGTGCTCAGCTGTTAATTTTTATTGTGATTTGGGTGAAAATTTACAGAGAAAATTCATTTCCTATATAGCAGTTCATACACTGGCTTCCATAAAGATTACAACCTTGGAAATCCTATGGGATAGTTATACTCTGTCCTATAGGGTTGCTATGGGTGAGAATCAGCTTGAGGGCAGTGAGTTAGTTTGGCTTGGGTTTAATCTTTACTCAAGCAGACTGCCACATCTTCCTCCAACAGAGCAACTGGTGGGGTCCAACAACCAACCTTCAGGTTAGCAGCTGAGTACTTAATCACTACCCCTCCAGGGCTCCTTTCATTAGTATTCCAAAACCAAACTCACTGCCATTGAGTCAATTCCAACTCTTAGCAACTCCCATTGGGTTTCCAAGGTCATAAGTCTTTACAGAAGTAGATTGCTTCATCTTCCTTCCATGGAGTGGCTGGTGGGCTTGAACTGCCAACCTTCTGGTTAGCAGTCAAATGCCTTAGGCATTGCGCCACCAGAACTCCTTTCATTAGTATTGTGGGCTCATAAATAATAGTACTTCCCTCAGGGTTGTTGTGAGGATTCAAAGTGTGAAACTGATTGAAGCAGGGCCTAGCACATATTGAAATATTCCCAGGGTAGTGCCAACAACTAAACCTCAGCTAGGTTAGCTTTCCAATCCACCCACACGTGCGTCAGTAGAGAGGCCTAGGTCACTGTCATTGAAAACCCTATAGAGCACTGGGGCAGGATCGACAGGGCATTGCCATGACATAGAGTTGCCACAAATCCTAGTCCACTCCATGGCAACTGGTTTGTTTTGTTTTTTGATTTGGCATATACTATATGCTATGCAATCCTTTTGGGTACTGAGACTGTCTATCCCCTAAAATAATTCCTCCCTCTGGGGTTTCCCAGGCTTTGGGACACACCATTCTGGACTGGGTCAGGCTGCGGTGAGCCTCTGAACAGCTTTAGACAAGTAGAGGCCGGGACAGAAGATCCCATTTAACACCTTCTTGCCTGATGATGGGATGAAGAGAGGCTGAGAGGCTGAGAGGGTGTTGCTGTGCGCTGAAGGAATCGGGCCAAAAGGTAGAGATAGGGGACAGGGGCAGGTCGACTAACAGCAGGTCCTCTGCACATGCCACACACCCTGGGATGACCCCCCACTACCTCCCAGTCAAGGTACACGAGAACGAGGCTGGGTTTGCACACGGCTTCCAGGAACGGGCAACCTTCAAACCATTAGACTTAAGTACATCACAAATGATTTCCCTGCAGCTGTCAAACTCTTGTTGTTAGGTGCCATTCAGTTGGCTCCGACTCACAGTGACCCTGCATGCAAAGAACCCAACCCTGCCCAGTCCCGCACCAGCCTCACATCATTGCCAGGCTTGAGCCCATCGTTGCAGTCACTGTGTCAGTCCATCCCATTGAGGGTCTTCTCCTTTTTTGCTGAGCCTCTGTTTTACCAAGCGTGATGTTCTTCAGGAATTGGTCCCTCCCAGTAATACGTACAGAGTACCTGAGGTGAAATATTGCCATCCTTGCTTCTAAGGAGCATTCTGGCCGTAGTTCTTCTGAGGCACACTTGTTTGTTCTTCCAGCAGTCCATGGCATATTCAATACTTTTTGCCAAAGCCAC